AAAGGAAACTCTCTCTTTGCTCCTATTGCGTTATCTTAGCACGGTGGATAACTCCCCTCTGAGATGCTTTCTCTGTGATGTGCTCGGTTTCCCCACAATCAGACAGGCTCTTCCTTGAAGTACCAGAAAGTCAACACTTCCAAGGAAGCACAGGCTGTAAGGAAACACTGGTGGCTCGAGGCTGTATTATCACTCAGAACTTCCAAACATGAGATTTACAAAAGCAACAAGGGCTTGTTTGTAGATCTGTGTGAGGATGAAATTAAGCCAACGCCGTGGGCTTTTGAAAACACTGTAGTTGTTACTATAAGGCTTAGGGGTCTTCCTGCACGCTGGAAAATCAGGGAACGTGGAGGATGGTTTTTCCATAAGTGTTACAAATCCAAAACATCATGAGGTTAGTGAGTTCATCTGATGTGCACTGACTAAGGGTCTGGGCAGTAACTTTTGGAAACGTAGTGTTTATTCAACCCAATTTTAGCCATGGGCATCACATCTCAGCTGCTGGAATCTAGGAAGCTCTAAGTTATTCCTCTCCTGCCTTTTGGCTGTTTCTTGTAAAGCTTTTTGCATGGGGAAACAGGGAGGGCAAGAGAGCGATGGAGCAATAAAACATCTTATCCCCTCTTTCGGAGATGATCATGTGGTTGTTCAGGAATCTCTGTGCATCTCACTTCATGCACAGAGTCTGCTAGAAAAGTTTTTCCCAGTTGCCCAAGTGTTGCAACAGGAATGCTTGTAACTAGCTTGAAGGCACCTGGGACCAGGCAGCTCGAAGCGAATGTGTTTTTCAATATGTGTTTTGATGGAAAAATCTACAGAGGAAAAAATCTGAAGGGGAAAAAATGCTTTGCTAAACTTGAAGCCATTTAAGGAAGCCAAAAATTACCTTGTGTTTTATGGTAGCTGATGACATCCCGTCATCCCAGGGGACGTGCCCCACCAGCAGTCAGCATGGGATGGAGCGGCAGATGGGCTGGGTGCGCTGGAGACCTGAGCTGTGTGCCTGGACCTGGTGCTGGAAAGTCCACATTCATGTCCTGTATGAGGTCTCTTTTCATCAGGTTTTGCATAGGCATCTAGGATTTGGCTCTGCCTTAGTAGGGTTTGAGGGAAGGAGTGGTTGGGTTGTGCTTTTTCTCCTTTAAGCCCTGTTAGATGCAGTTGCATTGGTATTGCAAATAGCAGCACCCCCTGAGCAGGGACACATCCTTATGTCTTTGCAGAGCAACTACTAAATGAATAGCTCCTGGAGTGTAAAGCATCTCTGCCAGCAGAGACACCACTGTCTGTCTCTGGGAGAGAACCTAAAATTACATGTAGAAGTTGGAGGAGTCTTCCACCTAGTTTAAGTAGTAAAAGTATTTCCTTAGAGCTAAATCCTGGTGCCTTTGAAGTATGAGGCAAGGGTGCCACTTGGAAAAGCTTTGGCCTTTACTATTTGATGGGCTCTGGAAATAGTGAAGGTTTGGAAATATGAAGATACCGCTGTGATTCCTCCATCTAGTGCAGAGTGGGGAAGGTTCTACCTTTGTTATGCTGAGGGACAGCCCCGTTGGGCAATATGGCAATAAAACAGTGGGGGACCAAGGATATCATAGTATGGGAGAAGCACCATTATTAACACTTGCACATGCTGTGCAGTAAGTTATTTGCTTTGCACAGAGTGGGAATATTTCCATCTGCTTTCACATCTGATGCATCTTCTCCATGGCAGTCTCTGCTAGAAAATGAGTCAAGATGCCTTAAAAAAGGAAGGTGGGAATAAAGCTGAGCCCAGACAAAGTAAATATTGATTGACTTGTTCTTGCAAAAATGGTCAAGGTTTTTGCCAAAGTCAAGGAACAGAGGTTTCCTCATTATTCTTCTTCCTTCCTGGCCAGCAACATTACAGACGTCAGACTGGTTGAGTCTACAACCCTTCTGGATGACATTGAGGATCTCTTTTAAGTGCCAGTTCTCCAAATAGTGGGTATTATGTTGAATATTTAATACTTAAGGGTAAAATAAGCCAAATTCTAAGGCCCCTTTAGTGAAGGAGCTTGTTTTTTCTTTAGACAACCTTTGATTTACTTCTTTTAATCAAGGAAAGCTGCAGTCCCATAGTGTTAGCTGAGGTGCAGCCATGATTGACACTGGTGCATTTGATGGTTAAATGCTTAACTTACAAGATCAGCATTTGGATCGTACAGCCCAAGTGAGCTTCCCCAAAGAGCACTCAAACGTGAGAGTCACAGAGTAACAGGGTTTTGGACAGGGAAGAGGGAAGGAAATAGTTATCCTCGCTCATTTGCAATGGTGATAGTGTAACAGCAATCACTACAGCCTTACCTTTATTATAGAGTAATTTAGGTTGCAAAACACCTTTAAGGTGACCAAGTCCAACTGTTGATGTAACGCTGCCAATTCCACCACTGAACCATGTCCTTAAGTGCCATATTTGCATGTCTTTTAAATACCTCCAGGGATGGCGGCTCCCACTTTCCTGGGTAACCTGTTTCAGTGCTTGACATACCATTTGGTGAAGACACTCTTCTTAATATCCAGTCTAAACCTCCCCTGGTGCAGCTTGGGGGCATTTGCTCTTGTCCTATCACTTGTTACTTGAAAGAAGAGACTGACCCCACCTCGCTCCATCCTCCTTGTCGGGCAGTTGCAGAGAGCGATAAGGTCCCCCCTGAGCCTTCTCTTCTGCAGACTAAACCCCCCAGGTCCCTCAGCCCTTCCTCATCACACTTGTGCTCCAGGCCCTGCACCAGCTCCAGTGCCCTTCTCTGGCCCCGCTCCAGCACCTCAATGTCTATCTTGTAGAGAAGGACCCAGAACCAACACAGGATTCGAAGTGCAGCCTCACCAGTGCCAAGTACAGGGGACAATCACTGTCCTGCTGGCCATACTATTGCTGGTACATGGACGATTGAGCTGGAGTAAGGGAACAAGCTTTTGGGTGCATGAGCACCTTTTTCAGGTCTGGGCACAGTTACCTCACATAGACCTCAGCATCTTCCCCAGTTCAGTAGTTCAGCCGAGACTGCTGCCAGCTGGCTCCAGTCTGAGCTGCGGTTGCCTGTTAATCTGCCTTGAACTTAGAACTATGTGTGACTCCTGTTAGACCTTGGGGCCAGAAACCAGAGGATTCTGCACGTCTGTCCATTGTGGACTTCTCCTGGGGTTGGTGGAGAAAGGACATCGATCCTTCTCATTCTGTCTTGAATAAAGCATCTATCTCCTAGGTGGCAAATGCTGGAGGCAAGTCTTACCTCTTCTGCTCAGTGGCTTCTATAAGTCATTCTTACCCCTCCACAAACCAAGTCTGGTTACTCCAACCTATTAAAATAATATTGTAAGATGATCTGCTGGGAAAATATACTGCTTTGAGAACCTGAAGTGGTTCAGTGTAATCTAGGTGCAATCTTTTCATGCTGGGAGGCACCTTTGCTTCCCTAAACTCCTCAGAGTCTCAGAGATCAAAAGCTGCTTCCTACTAATTTGGAGGCACACAGATACAAGTCTTTTGCTCCCTTTGAAAGTTCTGTTTCTTGCCCTCTGGGGATATAAAATTCTGCAATCCCAGCTCAGTCTGTTGTTCAAATTCCTTTCCAGCTGTGTGGTCAGCTCTCGGCATTAAATCCCAGAGAAGTGGACTATTGGTACTCAGTGGGACATTTCCTTGTAGTGAGGTCAGCTCCCTCCAGAACATCTGGAGCTGGTCCCTAGTGGGACAGAATGGCTAGGCAGGCACACACCACGGAGCTGATGCATTTTGGCAACTGCTGGTAACCAAGCTGAGCATGCACTTGCTCCTAACATGACATGCAAGAAGAGCTATAGGCTCTTCGTTCTGAGTATTTGAATGTATATGTGTGAAAGGATGGTTGGGGTTGCCTTTTTGCATGGACTGGTTTAATGCTTCCCATACCCACCCAGCCCTTGGGTTGCCCAACACCTCACGTTGTCTTTGCGCTTCCCTTTCAGATGTGGATGTTCTTCAAAGACTGGGCCTATCAGGGAAAAGGCCATCAAGCGGATGGTCCTCATCACGTACAGTTCCTCAAGGAGTCATTCCTTTCAAATCAGGGGTCATCTTCACTCAGCGAGCACGCGTCGAAGCGCCGCTCAGCACCATCCTCCCTGCAGGCTCCAGCACTGAGCTGCTCCTGGTGCTGAGCCTCTGCTCCCACCGCATCAACAACGCTTTTCTCTTTGCTGTCAAGAGCAAAAAGAGGAAACTGCAGCTGGGCATCCAGTTTGTGCCTGGGAAGATCATTGTCTACGTGGGCCACAAGCGCTCTGTATATTTTGATTACAATGTCCACGATGGCCAATGGCACAATATGGCCATCAACATCCGTGGCCAGACAGTCACTTTATTTACTTCTTGTGGGAAGCGCAGGGTACATGCGGATTTGCATTACAAAAAGGACGAGGCATTGGATCCACACGGATCTTTCCTCTTTGGGAAGATAAACCAGCACTCGGTGCAGTTTGAAGGAGCCATCTGCCAGTTTGATATTTATCCTTCCGCCAAGGCAGCTCATCATTACTGTAAATACCTGAAGAAACAGTGCAGGCAAGCAGATACCTACCGGCCAAACCTGCCTCCCCTCATCCCCCTCCTGCCCAGGGATCCCCATGCCTCCCCCAGTACCCCACAGCATATGGAGCCCTCGCTGCAGGGTCTGAGAAACCTGACCACTGCTGCCCCATCGTTGGAGCTTGGCAGGGTCACTGCACCCCTCAAGGCTCGGGGTTCAGGTACGACAACTATCGCATGGGTATCATCCCCACCATCACTGCCAAAACTGACAACCAAAGCCACAAAGGTCACAGTGGCCCCATCTTCTGTTCCATCGAGTACTGAATCACAGCCACCCACCCATCCGCTCCCTCGGGGCACAGTGACAACCCTCAGGGTGTCCCGTCCCACTCCCAGCACACGCATGGAGAAAACTCCTCTTCCCGCTGCCAAAAAGGCCCCACCAACAAGCCAGAGCCCTGCCATGGCCAGGGGGAAGGAGTCCAAGCAAGAGACCAAAAAGAAGATCAACCAAAACCCAACCGTCGAGCCCTCTAAAGCACCCAGTACTGTAATGCCAATGAGGAGGGTGACTGATAACACAACCAGCAACGTCCACTTTGTGACCCTAAGGCAGAACCCAAGCAGTGGGCCTGTTCCAAAGAAGCACGTGCCGTCCCCCACCAGGAAGGTGGATCCTAGTAACATCCCTCTGGTGTACACCAAACCGCCCCTGGGGTCTGCCCGTCCTGTCTCCAGAGGCAGGGCACAGGCCTCCAACCTCACAACCCCAGCTGCCACTGATAGCTATCAAATCTTTGACCCCCTCGGACCCACTCCTTTTCCATTTTTACTGGGATATCCAGGAGTGAAAGGGGAGAGAGGACCTCAGGTAAGTTCAAGCTCTTGATGCTGACTATTCCTGGACACAGCTCATCATAACATAGAAGGGTTTCTATAAAGCTTTTAGCAGAATGTGACAGGTCGAAATAGCAGCCAAGCACTATTATGTTCCCTATTATCACAATTTTAGCACATATCTCACTGTAAACTTGAGTGCTCTGTGATGGTGGATACTCCTCAAGTTTGTGATTAAAGTTGTTGTTTAATATTAGATTTAAGAAAAGGAAAAAAGGGGAGAAAACTGATTCCCACCTTCCTTCCTACAAGTTACTGCTTAATTTTGATGGTTAAGTTGGGGCTCTGTTCCTCACCCCTGTTTTTTGCTCAGGGCAGAACTGATGGTCCCCTTCCAAAGAAAACCCAAATGTCTCAGAAACATGCTCCAGATTATCTATTACTTAACACTGGTTATTAATTTGTTGAGTACCCAAAATATCCCCATTTCCAAGAGTGCCCCATTCCAGTAAATGCAAGTACAGAGATTGCTCCAGGATTTACTTTTTTTAAACAAACTCTCCTCTCTTTTTCTGGTGTAAGTTGATTTCTTATTATTATTACTCAGAGCCTGCATTTAAAACGTGCAAAGAGCTTCCTTTATAAATTTAACTACTGCATTCCACGCACAATAACTACTCTCAGGGTGTATATCTTGGCCATCGTAAAAGTATACACACATTTTGTAATGCTAAAAGCAGTCAGGCCACACTAATTATCTGCTAGCTGCTTTTTCTTTAAGTGCAAGAATGCAAACAGGATCTTTAAATTGGCCAACTTTTAGGAGGATTTGGTGTTCCAGCCCGAGCCTTTCGCTATATTGTGTGTGTGAGGGGTTGTACATGTAAAAGAAGTTTCTCCCAGACGGAGTCTTGTGTTGCCAAGTTCCAGCCTAGAGCAAATTATTACAGCTGACTTCTTAAAATAGTGAGAGAAGGGTTTACAATGGAAATATTGAGGCTGGCTGAAGGAACACTATCAACAGCGCTTGTGCCTGCAGATGTGCTGCTTGTCTTGCAAGTGACACCTAAGGTGATAACGGTAGTTGTCCCTAAGGCCCTGCTGGGTGCTCACCTTTTAGGTTTGCATTTCTTGCCTGTCCTGTTTCAGAGCAATGCGCTGATTTCTCGCGTTGTAATTTGGGTGGGGAGTCACCATCGGGTGTGTTTTATTCTAAGGTTCCCACTTTGAGAGGTAAAGATGCTGCCCTGGGCAGGGGATGCAGCCCTGCACCCCTGCCTGGCTTTACAGGCTCATATCCCTGATGTAGGCTTTGTGCTTGGAGAAGTTTTGCTAAATCCCTGAGTAGACAGAATGAGACTCAGTGGTTTTTCCTTCTGTGTTTCATGAAGAGTCATTTCAGGCATATTTCCAAGAGGAGAAATGAAGCAGTTCTGAACTTCTCCTAAAACACTGCTTACCTGTAAGGGCTAAATCAGGGTGGAGTGTTCTGAGCCCAGTGGAATCCTGACCTTTCCCACCTTATTCACCTGCAAGTGTCATGAGGGTGACCGAGCTCCAAGCCCCCACTTCTCCCTGCAATGTAAAGAGCTTATTGTTGAATTGGAGTGGAAAAGCCCTCTCAGCTTGTGAATCATAGTAAAGGAACAGATTCAGGCTGTGGAGGGCTGAGGGAAGAGGTGGCAGGATTTTTTCCATTCCGTCTGAGAATAACTGGAGTCCCGAACTGAGGGAAAGGAGAACATTTTGAGGCTTTGTCTGGCCTTTTCCTCTTTGACTGCTGGAAACACAGTCGGCACTTTGGGAGGGAAAGGTTATGGTTTGGCTGGTGCTGGCTGCGTGTGATGCTCAATAGCTCCTGTGACTCACTTGGAGATCTCTGTACCACACTTCATTGGATGTCTCTGACGTGGGAAGAGAAAGAGGAGAAAAGACTGGAATAGGGATGACATGTTGAGAAACTAATAGAGCACTTCCATGGCCAGACGAGCATGTTTCAGAGCAAGTGCTGATAAATGTTCCGTGCTTGAGTAATTACCTGGCGCCGGCCTTGTGCTGTTGGGCAGGCGTTTCTGATGAGGTCAGTGCATCCCTTCCTGCTCTGCTGTGTGATATCACTGCCCGCCACTTTCCCTGGATGGGGCTGGGAATGTCATTCGTGGAGTCTGGCACATGGGTGGACGGATAAGATGATTAAATAGGCTTCCCACTTGTGTTGCCTGGTACAAGGTGTCACCAAGGAAATTGTCACTCTCAGCAGATAAGTGTGTGTGGGAAACTTTTCTACCTGGTCAGCAAGGATTGGGGCCACCTTGGCAATGATTAGATATAAGGAAGAAGTTCTTTGCTGTGAGGGTGGTGAGGAGCTGGCACAGGTTGCCTAAGTAAGTAATAAATGCTCCATCCCTGCCAGTGTTCAAGGCCAGGTTGGACCAAGTGTTGGGTGACATGGTTTAGTGTGTGGTGTCCCTGCCCATGGCAGAGGGGTTGGAACTAGATGATCTTAAGCTCCTTTCCAACTCTAATTCTAAGATTCTATATGATTCTATCATTTATGGGCAGAAGGAGGCTGCCAGCCAACAGCACCCTGCTTGTCCACATCCACTTAGAAGGGACCATCTTTCACCCTGATCGTCCCAAAACCAGGATGTGAATGACAGTCGCAGTGTGAGGCATTGATGACTCAGTGTGGTCTCTGCAATTCTGGCTTTGTGAATGTTACCAAAATAACTGTGGTATAATTTTAACTGTGCAGAAGGGCCCCATCCCCATAACTGAGGTGTCCACATGGTTAGAGGAGTGCAAGCAAGGGGCTAAAAGGGTCTGTTCACCTAGCAATAAACAGCAGCACCCATTGTGGATTAATCCTGCACCACCACCACAGTGCTCCACAACAGGAAACGGAGCCACTGCATCCCACATGCAACTAGTGGCAGCACATTAATTCTTCAGGAATGTTGGGTTTGCTGGGCGGCTGGAGGAGGAAAGGGGATGTTCTTAAAAAAGATGAATTTCTTGGGAACCATTAATAACCACAAACATTTGGGATCTCGGCTCAGCATTTCTTTTGGAGAGGGGGGAAATAGCACAAACCACCCAATCATCATGCTCAGTCAGGAAGGCAGCACTGACTCAGCAGCTGGCAAAGCTCCCTCTGGATTATCCCCGTGGCTGCCCGCAGCACCTCAGCAGAGCCTTGCTGGAGATGTCCCATTGCTGCACAGGGCCCTTTGCTCAGCTTGCAGAGTGATGTGACCCCAGTTGGGTGCACCCACTTTCTCCTCCTGTATAGTAAAGCTGTAATGCCCCACCTTTTTGTCCCTTACAAACAGAAGAACCCAAACATATTGACTATTTGAGGAGTGTCTGAGGGTTATTTTCAGAGGAAGAAAATCCCTGGCACTGAATGGGCCGAGTTCTCTATGAGGCTGTGGAAGCACTAAGTAACACAAGAGGAGTGGGAATGGGGGGAGCATGTATCTGAGCTGGAAAACAGCCTGAGTGGAAGCACCAGTAACCTCGAGCTCCCCTGCACACGCTGTGATGCATGGCCAGGAGCCCTAGCTGGAGATGTGGTGGCACCCTGTAGGCAGCCTTCTTCCACCAGCACATGTGTTTCTAAGCGCATCCCCAGTCTAGACTGCTCTATCTTCTGCATGAGCAATTTGCCTTGGAGCCTGGCTCCTTTCATAGAGAAGCAATCCCTGCCAAATCAATCAGTGAATAGGGGAGAGAGAGAGGTGATTGGGAACGCTGATAAAATATGAAGTGCTTATTTCCAATCCTTCTTGTACCAGAAAAGGCTACTCGAGCTGATAGTCTGTGATAAATTGAGGAACACACAATGTGTTTGAATGTCTCTTAATGAATGAGTCATATTAATAAAAAAAAAATAGAGAATCACATGTTTTGTATAATTCATGGGAAAAGTTTTAGCCTTGCTCACACAGTTGGATCACTGTTTTTTGCTAATTTAACCAGAACTATCCCCAAAGGGAAATCATCTTGCAGGCAAAAGACTGAGAATCTGAGAGCTCTATTTGTGTAAAACAAAGGTGATTTTGAAGAGCAGTAGTTGAAAGTGTGCTTGAGATAAGTGTGCTGCAAAAGGATGTAGGGATGTATTGTGGCAATACACACAGGTATTTTTACAAGTGACAGAGTACGAGCTCCCTGTTTTTTCATACCCCTTCAGACTTCCTTCCAAGGTCTGACATTGCTCAAGTCTCAAGTGCCTCCTGCAGAGATTGTTTCTGCAACGCCTCTGTAGAAAAGCTGTGTTCATCAAGCTGCAATACTAACGTTTGGTTACGTATTGTGCTGCTGCTCTGTTCGGAATCGAGCTGTGGACAAGGATTTGTCTCTGATAGGTGCTGTACAGACCCAGAATAAACATCTGTGTCTATTGCGGAACTCGTATTACAACACTGGCTTCCCCCCAAACACCTCTGCTCCTGCCAGGATTATGAGAGTTTTTCTTTCTAGGCTGGTTGAAACCCAGATGTGTCCAAATTTAACATGATCAGCCTGCCTTGGAGAAGAAAGAACCAAAATGTTGATTTCCCTCCTCTCCCTCCCCCCCAAAAAAAAGCCCTCCAGGTTTACTTTAGGCAGTACTTCAAGCTGGGTTTTAGTTTAGGTCCTGTCCCCCTCTCTGTGCAGGATGGTGAGGTTAGGAAGGGTTAGCATGTCTTGTGAAGATGAGGTCTTCTCTTCCCCCGAGCAGGGGATTTTTCATTCTAGTGCTGCCCCTGTAGCTGCTCAGTCCCTCTGTGCTGGTGCTTTCCAGAGGTACAAGGCTAAACAGTAGATCCATGGCAATGGCCTTGCATATGAAATGTGCCTCATCTTCCTCTGGGAAGAAAACAAGACAGGTTCTCTTATCTGCAGGGCTAACGTCACTGCTCAGAACTCAATGCCAATGTAGGGAGAAGCTTTTGATGTGCTTTCTGAACTCCCTTTTAAGCTGGCTTTTACCACATACATTAGCATCTGAGAAAGAATGTTCTCCCTTCAGTCCTTGCAGTGTTTTGTGCAGTGCAGGATGCCCACCCCTGAAGCACAGCCTTGTCTAGGGTAAAGGAGAACTGTACTACTAATGGGGTACAGAACATGGGAGGCAGAAATACATCAGAGAGACCCCAAAGTATAGATGTGTCAGTCCATCAGCTGTGCACTGGAATATGAGCTGAACTGTGTCCGTGGTAATTTGCTCCTGGGTGAACGATAACAGGAATACTTGGCTATCTGAGCAAGTTAATTCAGTAGGCATCCGAAAGGAAGCGAGTCATTTCCCACATCACCAGTTCCTGCACCGATTATGCTTCCCTCCAAGCCCTCTCCCGGCAGGTTCAGCCTTGCTTAGACTGTGAGATCTAAAGACACAAGCTCCCAGGGGCAGTGCTGCAGGCAGAGGGAAGTGTGAGGAGGGTCACGATGGGGGAGAGGCAGAGATATGAACGGGCTGGTCTCAGCAGCAAGAGGAAACGGTGAGATTTCTCTTGTCCTCAGGGCCCAATTCATTTCCCTTTCAGACAACTTAGCTTAATTTTCCATTTGCAATTTGAAGCTCCAAAAGCTAAGAAAAAGAGAGGTCCCTTTCGCGCCAGGAAGTTTCCCAGCAGCAGCTTAGAATAAATCCTATAATCATTTGGTAGGATCAGTCATTGTTCCTAATGCTACCGTGGGAAACTGAGAAGGGTTAAACTTTTATGTGGCTGCTATTAGGTGCTTCACAGAACTGTTCAGGCTGGTTAACAATTCAGCTGTTGGCTTGAGAAGAGAGAGTGAGTATCTACTTCTGCCCTGCTTCTCCTTGATCTCTGATGTTGCTTTGTATGATAGCAGGGTGTGTGTGTTCTCTGCCATCAGTTTGCAGAGCAGGCAGGAAGCCAGAGAGGCAAGAACCAAAGTGCTAGGAGCAGTAGCTCGCTGCAGGAGGCTGTCAGCTTTGCTGGTCTTGTGAGGTGTTCATGCAATGGGAGGGCAGGAGCAGAGAAGTGCCAGAGAAAGAAAACCTTCCTGCCTTGCGGAGCCCTTCCCACTGCTCCTTGTGGAATTCCCTAAGGATGCTCTTGAAGGGCATAATGGAAAGATCCACACAGGCTCTGTGTGATCAGTTTAACTCTTCCCTGCGCCTCTGCACTACGGGTGAAGGTGGAGATGTCTCTGGTGAGCATAGGGACCGCACAGGCACCACCTCCAAGCAGACTCCTGGCAGCTCACTGCATGGTGCCTCGTTGATAGACGTCTGTTACCCTCCATGTCTCGGAGCCGTACGATGTAAGCAGGACCACATCCATCATCTGTAAGTAGCTGGGCCCTGATCCAGTCTCATTCTTCTCTGGCTGCCTCTCCGGATGTGCGTTTTTCTCCGTGTGTGTTTCAGTATTGCTCTCCCCAGGCAAAGCCAGTTCTCTGACATGGGCCTCTTGTTCGAGAGCTTGACCTGGATGATAGAGGCACGTGCACGGGGCAGGAGAAATGAGCCACTGGGAAGGTGCAGTACACGTCCCATCCAATCCAGCTGCTCAGGAATCGTGTGAGAATGGCAAGGGTTGGAAGGGACCTTAAAGACAAAAGGTGATCTTGCAATTCTTACATTTCACAGCTATGTGTGTTCATCCAGCTACCCTAGTTCTCTTTCACCTTGTCTTGCTTCTGATTTACAGATGTCGTGCTCTTGCCTTATGCAGTTACCGTAGTGGCTGGCACCTTTTAGCCATTCATCCCACGGTCACCTTATTCCTTTTGCTTTTTAGGAGAGGAATAAAAAAGGCTGAAGAAAAGGTAAATTAAACCAAAGCAAAGTGGTAGGGACTCCTGAATTACGTGCTGCTCTTTCTGTGCTGTTCAGCCAGACTCCTTAACTCCATATTCCCGCTCCAGTGCAGGTATTAACTCTCTCCTTATTTTTGCCTGCTTCAGTTTATTGTGAACAGTCCACATTTTTGGAGAAGTATTTTACTCAGGTGGCCAAGTACAATTGCAGCTGCTGTTAGCAGGAAGGTGGAAAAGGTCACCTCAACCCTGGTACGCAGGGAATGCAGTTCAGACAGTTGCATCTTCGCTTTTACTTCTTTGTCTAGGGGTAAATGGGAATGGATTTTGACGGAGAAGACATTAAGGACTTGAACTCATCTTTGGTAAACTCTATAGCTGTTGCTGTATCAGTTGCATTGGATTCATGTTTTGATAGTTACCTTCTTACCTAAAGGCTAAGGGGATTTTTTTAATAAAAGCTTGGATTCTGGAGCACAACTATCCACAAGGCTGAAAACCCCCAGAACCGTGTGTCTATTTGCACAGCTGTATAATTGCATTATGCACGGGGCCCTGAGCTGGCACAATGGCAGGTTAACGTGTTGTGTGTATTGCTGAAGTGAGGGTCAGCTGTATCAATAAGGGTTGTTCATACAAACACCAGTAACATGGTGTTACCAGCAATAAGCACCTTGCAGAGGGGTCAGATGAAGTGTTTCAGCCTATAGAGACTGGAGATCTCAGGGCAGGCAGCAGTGTTGGGTGATAGCAGAGACTGATGTGGTGTTGAAGTCCATCCCTGTGTTGTCTCAGAATGGGTCTATTCTATGCTGTGTAGGCTCTTACTGTAAAACAATCTTTTTCTTGTCACCCTTACCATGGATAGAACTAACTGCAGAAAAAACATGTTATGATTCATTTGGTGTCCTGACAAATCAGCAGTACAGACAGAGATGCTTGGGGCTCTGTTTATTCCTCCCTGACTTTTTCCTATGGTACCACATTTGGCTGAATGTCTTTGAAAGATTGCTTTTATACTAATTAATTTGCTGCTTATGGGAATCATAGAATCATATAGAGTAAGATGGTAATGGGAGGGTTGGTAATATTAGGAGAGTATGTATTCATCAGTTACCTATCTGGCTCAGGCAAGTTTTCTCTGCTCAGAATCTTATCCTGGGCATGAGATTCAGGGTAGGGATCTCCAGGGGTTTTGTTACTGAATCAACACACTTGATGACTCCCGAAAACTGTGTTAGAGATCATGAGCTTTCCATTCCTCTTCAGGGCCAGCAATGTGTTGCAGAGCCTGAGCAGCTCTGCCTGGCAACCCTTCAGCAGCAGGCTCTGCTCGGGGTGGTGGTGCAAGTGAGGTCCTACAGTAGTGATGCCAGTGGGGAGTGGGTCCCGCTCTGTGCAATGCACCCCTCTTCCCCATGGAGCATTGCTCCTGCCCACCATGCAGTTGGAGAGCTCAGACTGCCTTCCAAACATCCTTCAGCCTGCTGCTCTGGATCTGTCTCTCCCCTGGATGCAATGGAAACTCATCTTTTATAACAAGCTACTAGAATATAAATCCTCTGGGAGACGCTTAATTAACAGTTATTCTTGTTAGACATGCTTGGCTTGGGGGAAAAGAAGCTTTGAGGAGTTACTCGGAGTTGTAAATGGCTTTCCAGAAAGCTGAATTCTCCAGTTCATTGAAAAAATGGATAAATAAATGAATAAATTCAAGCTCGATACATTATTGAGTATTTTTTCCTAACCTGTTTCACATCAGTGCACAGCTGGGCGCCTGATATCTCCACTTTGTTCTCACTCTCTTCCAAGAACCCCCACTACTCTGACATGCATGAGTTGACCTCTCCTGTATTCCATAGTTAAGAATATCCAACACTGACACCAGTTTTATTGCATTTATCACATTCTACTACAAAATGACAGGATGCAATTATGTTGTAACTCATCTAGAAGCCTACAATATCAAGAACTATACATTCTTAGCTGATGTACATTATAACACATGATGTTCTTCCTTTGCCAAGGTGCTAACACATTACTTCTGTTGTGTGCTAGCACGTAGCAGGGAACTCCAAAGCTGAGAGACAGTTACAGCATGGGTCCAGGAAGGTGGAAACACAGCTGTGATTATGGGAATGTGGTCCACAGCAGAACAATGTGAAGGTTCTGTCTCTATGGAAGTACATGCTTGTGCAGATGTTGCTGTGCGCGGCGTTTTATCCCTTCATAGTAACAGCATAAGTTGAAGGGAAATAGGAGCACCCTCCTGTTATAGAACCATCATTAATACTTACTTTTCTTCTTCTAGGGCCCACCAGGACTGCCGGGCTTACCAGGACCACCTGGCAAGAGAGGGTCTCGAGTAAGTGATGTAGAATTCCTATCCATTTGTACTTGCATCTGCCTGTTGTGCTGTTCCAAGGGCTGTTGTATGTTCCCGTGGCTGAGTTATGATTGCTTTAAGCCCCACTGTTGAGGTCTGGCCTTCCTCCTTTCTCTCATTCCCTGTTTAAGGTTTTCAGGAGGCCACACTGGTGATTTGCAGCCTCCCTGAGCTAAGGTTTGGCATTGCAAGGGCTGGGGCTGGATGTTTCCAAATGGCTGTCAGAAGAATGAACTCTGTCTGTCTCATTTTGTTTCCAGTATCTGTTCCTTCTTGTGGACCCAGTGCTGAATATGAGCTTTGGTTGCTTTTTGTTCTGTACTTCACGCTCCCCAGCTTTCCAAATGGCTTGCTTTTTGCTCCTTCACCATCACTATACCTTCACTAGTGGGACCATGGTCTAGGACCAAGGACTCAACACACAGGAGTGAGCTTTTGCATTCCTCAGACTGAGACCTGCTCTCTGACTCCTTTTCAAGGTCTAGAGCAAAATGTCTTAGCTATTCTACAAGATCATTGCAAACTCCTCAATTTCTTCCTCCCCACATTAACTTCTGATGCAGATCTTAGACATTAAGTGTTATGCTGAGGACACATCTGGTGCTGAGTGCTGTAGCTAGCTGTGAGCAAAGCTTTCTGCATTGGCCTAGCTGCAAAAGTAGTCTCCCAAAGCTGGGCAACATGCCTGACCTGGATGCAGTTAACTGTTGGCATCAATTTCGTGTTAACATGGTGCTGTCCCACAAGGTACAGTCATGAGCACTGAACTGACGTGGGTCAGGAATCAAAAGATGCAGGTGTCTGAGGCTGGAAGGAGGGAATATTTGGATCCGTGATCCAGGCAGCATCCTGGCCTGGCAGCAGCAGGAGATTTCCTCACACATACTTGGCTAAAACTCAACCCCATGTAACGTCTTTGAAGAACAACCGAGATGCTAAGAGCGAGAAGGCTGTGCGTTCCCTGAGGACACTTGGTACAGTCCTGTGAGATCTTGCAGTAACCGGTAAAGATAAATGCACCTTCTCTTTACAACAGTGAAAACCAAAAGCTCTGCAGGAGCCCTTTAGGCATGGATATCAACAGCTACAAGCATTGATTTGGACTGTAAGTGTAAGGCGAGCACCAAGCTCATGTGTTTTAAGCTCAAGAGCTTGATGCTTATATATAAAACGTGTTTCGTATCATATATATACGTGTTTTATATACAACAGAAGTGTTCAAGGCCAGGTTGGACACAGGGCCTTGAGCAACCTGGTCAGTGGAAGGTGTCCCTGCCCCATGGCACGCGGTTAGAGCTGGATGAGCTTTAAGGTCTCTTCCAACTCAAACCATTCTATGGTTAGATACCTCCTACAGTGAAACACCAGGATGACTGGTCATGCAGCTCTGATGTCTTCTGAGCTGCAACCACATCAGCAAATTGCCCAGAGCTGGCAGTTCTTAGCAAGTCCCCATTAAGGCTGAAGGTGGTTCTTGCCCTACTCATAAGACTTGTTTGGTGTTACTTCTTGCAGTCCTGTGGTGTGCAAACCGAGACATCTCTGCATCCCATGTGTGAATGACCAAATTGCATCTCTACATCCAAATTCCACTACCAAAACCTGCTCTGAAGAACCTTTCTGTGTTATTCTCCAGCTGTGGCATGCTCCATCCTATATTTAAGATGGTCCTCCAAAAGACAATAAGCAACAGTGCATTTTGGAGCTCAGTCCCTGCCAGAGGTGCTGAGAATCATCCCAGAAAAGAGTTCCCAGTTAGGAAGCACTCAGCACAGCTGAGCCTGGCTTGGCTTGGACCTCTGTGAAGAGGCTGTGCTAATTTTGGGAAGGGGCAAAAGGGTCAATCTGTGAATGTCTGGCCTGGAGCACTGGAGACAGAACTGCTCTGTGCATCAGTTGTTTTGACTTTGCAACGTGTTTCTTCTAGTATTTTTCTTTCCTGTGGCTCTTTGGGGTTTAAGTATTTCATTGCAGAGGAGAAGAGCTGCCAGAAACTAAGACAGGCTTAGGGGAATTCTTGCATCTTTTGCTTTTGTTGTGCATGAACCACATAAAAATAGATGTGCATCGCTGCAGGGATTATTCTACCTCTGCCCAACCTGATCCTCAGACGAACCAGTTGCAGAGCTCTTACACCAGCCCATGGGTAACCCATGAGGTGTCCCTGAGGCTCCAGCCCAAGACAGGAGCTCTCAAGGGGAGGTGGATATTATGTGCAACTTTGCAGTGTTGAGTGCCAGGGGAAAGGAAGGCTTGTTTCTTGCCACCAATGCAGTGTATGATCTAAAGGATGAGGTGTAATCACTCTTGTAGCTTGCACAATTTCTACATTATTAATGCTTATACAATTAGTTGGCTCATGTGAAAATCCAGTAGCAGCATTAGACTCCTGACCTTCTGTAGCTGTGAAGCCCATAAAGTTGCTCTGTTGTTGACGTAGCTCAATATTTCCACTCCTTTGAACTCTGTACTGTCTCTGGTTCATTTCCCTTTCTCTCCTCATACTGGTCAGGGTAAAACGAAAGCCCTCATGAGCTTCTGCTTTGAGGTTGGGGTCAGTGGCAGTTGGGAAGCAAAGCTGGCTCATCCCATGGTTCTGCCTCTGTGTTTCCAGCAGAGAAGTAGATAAACTAGCAGATACACTGGACTTGTCTGTGCAGTTTAGGTGTTGCTCTTCCATGTAAGCAATGCCTCCTGGTTTGCAGTGACAAATGCCAGTCTTCGTAATAGCATGAAAAAGGTTGTGTCCGGGACACCTCTCACATTGAAGTGCAACCCAAGGTAGTGGATACTGCAGTCGTCTTGAAAACAACAATTTCTCAATTTTGAAAAGCCAGTCCCCAGTTTAGAAGGATTGAATTAATTTTACACCCTATCTCTCAGCATCAAGGATCCATGGACACAGGTTCAGACTACACCAATGCTCTGCCCTCTGCAGCTGGGAAGGCAGAGGTATATAGCAAATGAAAACTGGGTGTTTCTTCTTATTGAGTAAAGGACTCCAAGGGGAAGGAGTAAAAATATTGTAATTCTGATGATGAGAAATGATGGCTAATGAGTTTCCCAGGAGCTCTGCAAACCTGTATAGATATTACTGTATTGGCCGTACGCTTTACAGCATGTTTCCTCTCCGTGTCCAGCTAGAATTGTTTTCAGCTTTTCTGTATTAAAGAATTTGAGGCACAAGCAAGAGACCTGTCCATGCCACTTCTCCTCAGGTAAATGCACCTTGGCAAGTGTCTGTGTAAGATCTGAGATGCCTCTTGAAGGGCAGTTTTAGCAATGAAGGGTTTCCCCAGCTGTATGAATGTGGCATGTAGTGGAACAGCTTTCCCACGGCTCTGTGTATGAGTGGAGGCACTTAGGTACAAGAGCAGCAGTTCCATGTAACGGATGTGTGCTGCACTCCAACCCTAACTATTCTATGAGTCTGTGACCTTTGCATTTCTTCAAACATGAAGGTTGAATGGGGAGGCAGCGACAGAGGCTGGGATTTGCTAGCAGAGCTCTGCTAACAAGCTCAACAAGGAACTGTCAGCAAAGGACTCCCAAAGGAGCAATAACTTCTGCACCATTGTGACTTATCTCTGCCTCACCCAGGACTTGGTTAGTTTCACTCCCATGCTGTCTGCACGAGGGGCTTTTGCCAGCACATCCATGTTGATCACAAATTGTGACTCATTCCAGTGTAGTTAGACCAGCAAACTAGCACCAAAGTGCTGTGAACCATGACACTTGGTCTTAAATGCTGCCTTTCAGACGAGTTCTATGGCAATCCTAGTTGTCTGTTCCTCTTCTATGTGGAGGAGACAGTGAGCTGATACATGAGAGACAAGAGTGGTGGTTGTCTTCACTCCCAGGACAGCAATAGTGGGAAAGCCAGACTTTCCAAAACACTTTAATTTAGGAAGCCAGGTCCCACTGGAAGTCTATCTCCATCTGTAATAGGTGAGCAAACTCAGGTACAATGCAGGCGCTTTACCCATGTTCACACAACAGGTCAGAGGCAGAATTGGGAATAAAAAGCCTGGCATGCTGCAGCTGCTCTTATTTAACCTCTCTGATACAGTAACAGGAGAAATCCAAACGGATGGGTGACTAGAATACGGATGCGCTCCCTGATGCTTTGGGAATCTCTCGCCATTCTCCTGTGAACCTTAGCAGCCCGAAAGACTGCAGGGTCCCGATGTCACATGTCTCTGTTACATTTGGTCCGTGGTTGCAAAAAGTCTCCCTTTCCTTCAAAACGCAGGGCTTCCCTCCTAAAACAAGCAAGAACTTAACTCAGCTGCAGAGGTTCCCCAGTACCCTCATTCCATGAGGAAGATTTTCCAATTTCTGAATAGAAGCGTTTAAAGAAACAGTTTGTTTGGCTTCACTTCAAATATTTAGCTCATTTTTTTCAGCAAGCCAGAGGTCAGAGTGGGATCTGTAGGTCAGGAGTAGAAAAAGCTGCTTCTTCTACTCAGTAAAACCCCAAGACATAGTGAATTTTGAATGAGTCGTCATTGCTCCGTCTGAAGCTTTCCAGCATTTAGCAGGAGTTTGTAGGATTTTCCCCCCTCTTTGTGAGTACTGTGCACAGTTACACTTTTGTTAATGTTTGAGGGCTGGGAACCATTACGCATAAAAGAGCTTCTGTGAACAGAGTCCCATCTCCAGGCACGCCACTGAGATGAACTGGGTGGCACAGTGTGGTTCTCAAGTAGCATCATTCACGTAAAAGGCATTCCAGGGAGATGGGAACCCCATCCCCTCCCTTGCAGAACACATTCAGGGATTGTTCTGGTCTCCATGCCACTGAGCTTTGGGCTACTGCTGTCCCACGGTAAAATTTTCCATGGAATTTCTGGTGCAAGGCTTGGAAGATTTCAGCTGCAAGCTTGCATTTGCAATAAATTGGATTGTTTCAGCAGTTTTAAGGCACCCAAAGCAACTGTAAGGGACCAGGTAGTTGAACAGGCACACATGCAAACAGTAATACATGTTGTGGGACTTTCTTATTCAGTGGTCTCAGCATCGTCCCATCCTGTGAGTGGAAAAGAAGAGTAGAACTAATGCATTGATGATAAATATGTCTGGGAGAATCCCAATTTCTAGATATCAATGGGAAATTGAATTAAATTCAGGATAACATGGGTAAAATATAGCAATTAAATATAGTACTACAAAGAGATTAGCTCTTGAGTTGCTTCTCCATGACAAGAAGGCTATTTTTGGGAGCACTGTTTGGAGATGTGTAATTCTGGGTGCAGTAGAAGAGGAATGAACATTGGACTGGGTTTAATAAACCAAGAGAGGATAGCTTGGGGGCAGGATGACTGTTACTGGGGCTTCCAGCTTGGTGCATGGATTAATGTGTAAGGCCTGCCTGTTCAGATTTTGCATTGCTAACAGCTCCCGAGGCAGATGCTGTCCTGTACCTTTTGTTACTCAGCCCATCTAACTGTACTGCACCGCATCCTTCTCCTCTGCCAAGAATGTGGGTGTAATCATGGATTCAGGACTAACCGTGTTGGAACACATCAAGATCAGTTCTTTTTTCCCTTCTTTAGGACTGCTGCCAGGCTACACCCTTTTCTCTCCACGTTATGAGAGCAGTTTAGAACATCTAGCACAAGCCCCACGCTGAGTTACAGCAGTTTCTTGAGTGCCAGACTGGACTCTTCCCGCTGTCACTTCATCAGCAGGATGTGGCCACTTCTCACTAGGATAAGACCACATTGGTCTTTAGGAACAGGATGGATCTCTGACCTTCCTTTGCTGGGATTACACGCTATGACTCTCATTGAATTCAGTGATAAAGGCTCCATCTCTTGTCAAGAGCCTGTTTTTCATAATCATGTTTTGCCACTGGATACTAGGGTTAGATTCTCCCTATACCCTCCTTTTGGTTAAAGCTCTTTATGATTTTCTTGCTGTGCTTTGGTTTAGCTCTGGAAGAATGTGCACCATATTTTGCTGGAGGTGTGATTAGTCTCTTATCCAGGAGAATTGGTGGCTGAGCTCCCTATGTTCCAGGTTTCCTCCTGGAAAAACTCATTTTCAGCGAGGAGTCACACCAAACCATGTTGTTCTCTCCAGTCTGACACTGTTTTAAGCCTGCCCCAGGCTATGGTGGAGTGTGGATTTCAACTAACTGCACTAAAATGGGCTTAAAGCCAAACTGCCTGACTCCAAAGTCGAATAGCAGCTGAATTCCCTCCTCAAATCCAGCAGCAATCTGGATTTATGAACCCTGTTAAGAGCCACCTAGATTATTGCTTACGTGTAAGAGCTTTTTAGGAACTCATCTTTTTATAGAGACTTTACTGTTCTGATTTCTGCTGCTTAATGCTAATCTTCATACATACTTGAGACTTGGAAGACTTGGGTTGAAGCTCTTTTGCTACCACAGACTCACTGCACCACCTTAAGCAGCAAATTAAAACTGTGTTTCAGTGTCCCACCCAATGGGGTGAACAGACGATGCCATAGTTTGCTGGGAATATGGATTTATTTAGGACTTCTTGGTGCTCAGTTTCTGTGGCTACGGCAGCTCTATGGGTTTTCAAATGACAAGTTGATACTCAGACACCTTTACTTTAAAGTTGTCTCAGTTTCATTGGAAATTCACAGCCAGGCTAAAGCACCTGAGAATATCAGGCTGAAAATGTGGAAGGGAATTAAGAATGGGCCAATAAATGTATTGGGTTTCAGGCTGAAAATTTGAAGGAATTTAAGAATGGGACATTAAATACATTTGGGTTAATAAATGCCATTTACAAAGTTCAGCCTCGGCCTTTTAATTGCTCTTACAGCAGAGCAGCATGTGTTGGGAAATAGCACTGAGCACTCAGCAACTCTCTATACCACAAGATACAATAGCTAAATAAGAAAAAAGCAGCATTTTCTATTACAGTGCAGTAAAAATAAAACTGAATAGACATCAGCACCCTGATGTTCTCCCAAAACAGAGCAAGGGAACTGAACTTGGATGGCAGTCACATGCAGTGATTTTCCTTGGAAACCAGACCCTGAAGATTCTGGCCCCATATATGCTGAAATGCTCATGGGAAATACTACAGCGGAGTGTCAGAGTGGCTTTTTATCCCCCAGCCTGTACTTGTTGTAACTAGGGGGTACATTAAAGTGCTCCTCGTGGTGGTGTAAAGCTCACACACAGTCTTGGCAGCACAGTAGCCCTTGGAATTGAATCTTCAGGTTGTTTCATCTCCCAGGAACGTGTTCGAGAGGACTTGGAATTATTACTTCTGCCTGAAAGGTTAACAGATCTTCCACGTTGTATACAATCCTGGGATAAACTATCCGTAGCTGCTTCTCCAGATAACTCCTTAAATAGTCTTCAGAAGATACACAGGGTGGTTTTAAAATATGATGTGAAAGGAGATACTGCTGTATGTGACCTGAGGTAGATGCTCTGATAGTGTCATTAGCTTGTGAGACCTACTGGTTTAAATGGTTTAAACAGGGTCTGACTTCTGCTCCCTGTGTTTTACTGCCCAGCAACTCATTCTCTTTCTAACCTATAAAGGCAAAAGCCTGGTTGACTTGGGGTGGAAATGAGTTCATCCCAAATAGCTGAATAGTTTCCTTGAAGTAATTCCTTCTGTTCTCTTCAATCTTGGCCAAAAAATTAACACCCCAGCACACTTCTGCTCCCTTCTGCCTCCCTCCATCTCCTTCTGCTGGGACTCCTTGCAGAGCTTTGACTTCCCTGACCCCAGGGTAGTTTCTGTTCATGGTTGTGGAATATTTGGTGTACCCAAATCATCTCATTTGTCATGACGCATCTTGTGGCAACAGACACACATCCCCTTCCGTAGAGATAGGTGGGACCTGGTAGCCAAGTCTCACCACTCCAGAGGCACCAGTGAGGGTCCCGCTGTCTCTGGGCTGTGACGTGTACTGTGTGTGCTCTGCTCTCCAGCCTGGCCACAGCACAGCCTGGGACTAAGACACTCCTAGGACAAACACAGATGCCTATCAACTCCTTCTGACTCTGTTTTATGTCTGTTGTGTTTTTTAGGGTCCTCCAGGTCCCCATGGAAACCCTGGCTTACCTGGCCCCCCCGGCCTGAAAGTAAGTATTGGTTGGCATGAGGAGCTTTTGCCTTCCTCTTTCAGTGGAGGAACTGCAGCTTTTCTTTATCTCACTCGGTACAAAACAAGGAGCTGAAGCTGTTTTCCCCTCTGCTCACACACAGGCCCCCCAGCAGCACAGCCAAAGCCTTTTCCTGTGCTTTTGAGACCCTGCTGCATGCCTCAGTTCTTGGTTCTCCCTAAATTCCAAGTCTGCCTAATTAGGATACTGCCTAAGCTATGTCCCCGCGAGGGAGCAAACTATGTTGAGGTGAGGGCAGTGGAGTCCTTGCACTCCAGAGCCTCACCAGGTCTGGATTTCTTTGCTGTTTTATTCCTCTCCTCTGGATTTTGCACCCTACTCCTCCACCTTTGGGTCCAGACAGCAATGGGGTGACTGGCAGCACCCGGCTTCTTCCTCTGCCTTCCTCCTCTTGAAACTCCCTTATCTCTCCTTCCTTCTCCAGTTTCTGGGATCCCTGACCTCCACAAAACTGATTCCATTGCTTCCTTCTAGATACTCTCTTTGGTCCTTTCCTCTTGCATACACACTCCCTCCAGGGTGCTGAGGCTTCCTCCTCCCTTTGCATGAGACTTTAGCACATATGTGGCTCCAGAGGGGAGCTAAGTTAGTGTGCGGCAAACTGTGCACAGAAAGATGCTTTAATTCCCAGCCCGTTCCTGTGTATGAGGCTTTGTGTTACCTGGAGACTGGGAAGTTCCTGGGACACTGGTTTGGATTGTTTTAGTGGTTTTGTTTACACAGAAACAGCTTTAAAACATCTATCTGGGTCTAAAGAACAGTTGAGTTTTGAAAGGCAATGCTTACTAGAGGTTTTCACCAACAAGGAAAGCTGTAGGATGTCTCAGCCAAATATAAAGGTACAAGCAAGAGTCCTGTGCATGAAAAGATGGTCTTTTCATGATCTCATCAGTAGGCAGAGATGTTAGAACGCTATTGATGCTCTGGGAAAAAGATTCTGGAAACTTGGCCCACTGCCTCTATGTGATTGAAAATTAGGCACTGGAGACACGCTGGTGAACAGCAGCTGGTTTAAATTCTACACTGTAGTTATATAGCCTGAAAGTGAGGCTGTAAAATCTCTACATTTTAGTGTTCTGCATTTATTCTCCAGCAATGACTTCCAGATCACACTTGTTGAGTTTTATAACTCTTTTATATCATCAGAGTTCTATCTAACTTCCAGTCCTGCAAATTCAGCCTGGTCCACTCTATAGAGTCAAATGATGTTTCTGTGCCATAGGACTACTTTTAAAACACTTTGAGCCTAATGCCTGGTCAGAAATCATCTTTTGGCTGTAAAGCTGTTTTCAGTTGGTCTCCTACTAGAAATAAAACTTCCCGTAAGCACTTTCCCTCCATCTCAATGCGTGCTCTGGCAGCAGGAAGCCCTCAGAGGATGTGTGTATGTATGTAACAGTCTGCAGCAGAGATCTGGTGTCGTCAGCCTGTGTGATATATTGTACTTCGGCCAGACACCATTTGCAGGGTCAGGCTATTCTATATGATGCATTGTCAAAAGAAGTACTAAGTCTGCAATGGGAGATGAGAGCTGCAGCTCAACCCAGGCCTGGGCATAACTTCACCTCTAGAAGGAAGAGCCTGGTAAGCCATGGTTGCAACATCTTTGCATAAGAAGCACTTTTCGGAAGGTGTGTATCAGATCCCAGAGTTTTGTCTTCCCTCCTTCCCTTCGTTTCTCTGACATCAGTCCCAGAACACAGACTTTGCACAAAAAAAGTTTTATTTCACCCTCTTACGTTTTAAATGCCTCAAACCTTCACCAGGCTTAACAAGCCTGGACCTGGGACTTGCTACCTTCTTAACAGACCCAACCCGTGGCTGATATTACGGTCTTGTGGAAGGCCAATCTGGGCAAAAAAACAGAGCACCCCCAACTAGAACTTCTCTTGCTGAGAGCCCTCAAGTGGCTTTTGGACTAGATCTTCCCTGGATAGACAATACCATGGAAAAAACAAGCAATCCAAGACAGGAAACTGAAGTTTCCCAGATAGATACAGCTTGGAAACAACGACTAACACCAAAGTACTGTCACTTAGGAAGTAACCCAGGAGCATAATTTTTATCAGCTGAATTAACAGAGCACTCATAAGGTCAGGCAGCACAAGGGATGTGATGTGGCATGGCAGAGATGTGTGTGTTTCTGCACATCGCTTGTCCAGATGTGTTGGTGAGCACTGCTGCTGTGTTATTGGGCTGCTGTGTTTCTGAATCTATCCTGTGCAGGAGCCACCTTATTATTGATCTCTTGCACAGATTGTAGCTGATGAGTCAAATTCCTGCTTGGAGCTTGAGCTCCAAGTTCCACTGACTTCAGTGGCATTATACCCACTTGTGCCACCTGAGAATTTAGCCCATGGTGCTTCTCAGCCATTTATAATGCACAACTGCTTAAAAGGGGCTTCTTGCCACTATTTGCATTCTCATTGTTGTCCTTGGCAGCTGCAAAATTGCCATTACATCTAGTTAGCAAAGACTGATTATAGTAGATAACCTATTAAATGGCTGTAGACTTGGGCTAGGACTGTGGCTGGCTGTGTGACCTGTAAGCTGCTGGAAGCGTGGGGCAGGAGGGGTGTTGTTAACAAGCAGTTGTAGCAGTGAGGATGCCCTAATAGAGTTTGGGATTGGGAGGAGGGTTGGCTGTCAGACAGGGTGTGTTTTTAAAAGCCATTACAAGAGTTGGGTTTGCATCTCTCATCTGGAGGCTTTTGGCATCAGACATGAATATGGTTTGCTTAGTTAGCTGCTCTGGATGAACCTCTCTTGTTATAGCGCTAGGAAAATCTGAATTTTCCTTTTAGTGAATGGTTTGGCTCCAAGATAGCTCATCAGTTTGGCTCACTGCTGTTTAAAATACTATTAGTGGGATCGCAAAGCTGAGGTGTTTAAGTTGTACAGCTCCAGACTTCTCCCACATAAGGAAAAAACAGAAGAACACAATTTCTTCCTTTACAAGAAGAAGTAGTTTGCTCAATCGGTTGGGATGGGAAAGAAAGAAGCTTGTGGGCAAGGTGCTGTGGCTTAGTGATGGACAAGGCTTGGGCTAATTCCTGTGTTGTGGTTGCTGGGCAAGAATTGTGGGCAGTTAACCCACAATTCCAGCCCTCGCATCCAGGCATCTGTTCCCTCTGGCCCTGATGCTACCCTGCTGCTGAATACTAGGGACGTGAGATCCTACTGGTGACTGCAGTTCTCTGTGATGGTCTCAGCAGTGTTGAACACAGAACCATGATGCAAAGCACAGCATCACGCTAATGTGATCTGCAGCTCCCATGGTACAACGTAAGAGGCTTGTATTCCTTTACATGGCTCAATGTCGTTGCACTGAGCACATGGCAGGATTTAGGGAGAGTGGTGACTATCTACCTGCTGCAGCAAACTAATACCCTGTGATCCTGAGGGCTGTTCTAATCTGTTCCAAGTGTCTGAAGCACCCACTGACTGCTCTGAAGCTCAGAGAGTGGGAGAATTGCCCTGATAACAGCTGCACGCAAAGCAGGATTATCTGCATGACTTCATTTAGTGTTTGGAAACCAGGCAGCCTTCATTCAGAACTTGTGCAGATGCATCTGCCTTGAATCAGCACTGCTCCCTACAGTCCGTAGCCAAGTAGTCTCACTCCCTGTGAGCCTTGCAGCTTGTGGTGGAGGAGGAGAAAGGGAGATTTACACTCTGTGCAAGGTGGGAACTACACATTGAATGTAGTCTCAGCAAGGCTCAGTTGGCTAAAACTAGACCTTTGTGCCACAAGAAATGCAAGTTAATAAATACTATTATTCCTTTGTAGGGTCTCACCTTCCCTCCAATCACTTTACTTGACAGCCATTAATTAACCCTCACCATTATCCTGTGCTGGGCAGTTAGTTTTAAATCCAGTGCCGCTGATGTGGCACAGAGAGGTTACAACTTGTTTATGATCCCAGGGGTGTTAAATAGCCAGTGGCTGATACCTGTATTCTAGCTGTGCCAGAAGAGATGTTAGACAGACTTAAGCTGCTTTGTGTGGCAAGTCTTACCCCTTTCCCCTGCCAAAAGAATTTGGCAGACTTCAAATCTCTTCTAGTTTTTCCCTGCTTCTACCTCTCATCCCTCTAGGTGCACACATTACCTCCCCTTTTAAGAGTTTGAACTGGGATTTTTGAAGGAACAGATGTTCAAATGCTGCTGGAATTCCAGCCCGTGTTCATGGGAAGATCACAGCCTTAAACTGTGATTTCTCTCGTCACGGTTGTTCAAAAGGAAAATCAAGAATACTGCCACTTAGGACAAAGTGTGCCTCTTGCTTCTGCCAGCCTGGAAGCCTCACAATTACTCTGGCTGTTCACAGTGTCTAATTAGTGTAACTTTCTCTGCAGCTTCATCTGTTCCCCACAGTTAAAAAAGCAAGAGCATCTTGCAAGTTGTTAAGAAGGATAGTTCAGCCACTGTAATAGGCTTGGTAATTATTTTTGTGATGGTAGTTGTAGACAAGGAAGAAATTACAGCTGTCTAACCTAATGAGCATCAAAAGTCCTGACATTGCCTTCTTCCAGTTATCCTTTCTTTAGTCAATTTAATACTGTCAAATACTATTTAAAACTCAATGCTTTAGCATCAGCAGTAACTCGCCAAAACCACCTCGAGCAAAACAGCTATACCCGGGGACTTAATGTGCTTGGGATGTCAGAGAAAGACTGAGATAAAACAAGATGTTTTTCAAATTTGGAGGCTTGGAGGAGTGGAAGCACATCCATGGGCTGGGTCCTGGGATTATGTCACTAATGTAAGTTTATCATTTTAGGGTCAGAAAGGTGATCCTGGGCTGTCGCCTGGCAAAGCTCGCAATGGGCAGAAGGTAAGATGTTGCTCATGCACAGGCAGTAAGAGCACGTGCTTTAAGCCCTGTTGCATACGCATGGAGGGGTCCATACTGCAGTCACAAGCATCACAGCTACTCAGGTAGATTTAGGATTAAAAACTAAGACTTAGACCCTGGATTCAGGACTAAAGAGAGATGAGTTATTGAGCACAGCGCACTGAAGTGCCTGCTTCCACAACTTCTTGTTCTCCAAGTGTTTATCCATTTTATCCACAATCTGCAGCCCAAACTGATGTCCCAGACGCTGCAGGAAAGTGGCCACTGAAGTATTTAGACCAGCCCGTGTGAGATAGAGACAGATCTGGGCATGCGGCTGCGGTAATAAAAACCTTGAATGCAAAGGAAATGATGCTCGTGCCAAGGAGCTGAGAGAAGCCTGGTTTGCCCTAGGTCACATACACAGCCCACAGCAGGCCACCACTGGGAGAGCAGCCTTGCTGTCCCACTGGTAGAGAATGGGAGGCTTCCCAGACTATTGCATTGCCAGCGAATGGTCCCTTCTTTATGATAACCAGGGGTCTTCCCACCAAGGTCTACTCAAATCAATGCAGAGCACACAACTGGAAGTGTAACTGGTTGCTGGATTTAGTAATTGCTAAGGATCAGAGTTCTGCTAATTCTTTTCAGTAAGTTACAGCTCCCATCTTTGCTGTTTCACAGCTGAGCAGTTTTTACTGAGGCAACAAGGCCTCACAGAAGTCTAGAAATGAAGAGTAGAGTGATCATGGCTCCACAGCATCCACCTCAATTAGTTCCTTCAGTGGTGTGCCTGCACAATACTTCATAACTCACGTCCAGGGCAAGAAGCCTGGTTCTCTTCCTTTCATCATAAGCCTTGCTATAAATGCACAGCTAATAGAAAGCATCAGCCATGAAGAACTTGAGCCCTTCGTTTGAAACCAGATGCCTCTGTGAAGCACAGCAAGCCACAGAGATGCAAGACGGAGGGTGACGCTAGAAAACACTTGGAAGGCTCAGCCTGAAACGATGCTTTTAACTTAACAGCACGAGACGCCTTTTGAAATTCCCATTACACTTACATGGGAATGGCATCGCATGGAAATCATCCACCCGCAGTCTGGAACTGTTTTCTCACAAGCATGCTCAGTGTAAGAAAGGGAGACATCCAGATCACTTTTAGCTCGTGTTAACAAGGCTTTTATTCCTGTTAGCAGTAATAGAAACAAGGAGTTTCCAGCAGGAGTTTGGAGTGATGCCTAATTTTGGGGCTAGATACTCCAAATGCTTATTTAGTAAGCAGGCACAGCAGAGGATTAGACACTCTGAAGGAGGTTTTGATCCTAATCAGAGGAGGCCAAAAGGGGCTCGTGCAAACGGGTTGGATGTTAGAGAGGTCTCACAGCAATGCACTTACCCACTCCTATGATGATTTGGGTATGCCAGCTGGGATGTGATGCAATCCCTTTCCAAAAGCATAGGCCACAAAGGTTCAATCCATGTCATATAGGCAGGTTAAATAGTTACCTCATCACCTGCATTGGAACCGTGGGCTGAGACAGTGCACTAGCAGAGTGTGAGCAAATCACAGGATTTGGCAGGAGGTACCTGTTGTTCTTATTGCATTTAAAATAAGACATTTTCTTGCCTTGGTGATTTAAATGTCTATCAAAAGGTGAATGGAGCATGTGACTGAATGAGATCATTGGGGGGGAAAAGCATTATTCATTCTGCTGGCAAAAAACTGGAGTCCAGCAGCAGCTGCCATTAGTTAACTGGGATTATGATTTATATGAGCTAGTTAATAGAGTTGTTGTTTAAATCTGAGCTGCTTACCCAGTCAGGTTTTGAAGCATTGTAATTAGAATCAGAAATACCAATGTTGGGTGCTCCTGTCAGCAGATAATTTCAGTTACCATATGCTAGGCATAGATAATCATGCTGAAAAACTAATTCAGCTTACTTCCTACAGGGAGATGTGGGCTTACCCGGTTTGGCTGGGTTCCCTGGACCACCTGGTAGAAAGGTAAGAGTATTCTTTCCTAGTGAATTAGAGCAGTATCTTTATGTTTAATTTTTCTTCTCTAACTCTGCCTAAAAGATGTAGTTAAGTCCTAGAACCCAGCAAAGAGGTCTCATGCCTGTTCCATAGGTCTATAAACTGGAACATAGCCTAAAGGTTGTGTCAGCAAGACTATGAAATGCAATTCTGGACCCGGATATCTGTTCCTTCTTCATCATGGGTCTTCACCAGCAAGCTGAATTTAGGTCTGGTTCAGGCAACATGATAACTAAATGGATCTACAGCTAAGATCAGTGCTCAGAGGCTGGGTTCAGAACAGGTTTAGGTGTTCCATCGAAACGTTGACTGTCTTTCGTGGTAAAGTTCATTTCAAAAAATACCTGTATTCCTTCCCTCTGTTTTTCTTGGAGGCTGACAGCACTAGCCAGGTTTTACTTTATTTACTTCCATTGAACATCATTAACAACACCAACAACATACGTATGCCTAGAAAAGGATATGTAGAGGTAGAGCACAAGATCCATCCCTGCCTTCATATTGCAGCAGTGTGTGTGCTTGCATTCATATGTTCAAGTCTGCACAGCAATACCTTTAGCAATCCATACCCTGAGCTCACCTCTTTTACATACCAAGGATATTTCATCTGTCCTTCCAGTTCCAGGCTGTGTTGGTAGGTTGGTTTTTGGAAGGTGGTTCTATTGCAGGGAGCTGTTTAATAGTTGGGTTCAGTGGACATGAGTCCCCAACAAGCATAGCTAAGCTGAACACTTAAAATGAGCATCTTGTTTCAATTACTTCATCAGTCAGTGGGCCATTGAAGATACGCTGATCCTCAGGCCAATGAGCTGCACGCAAACACCTACTTGGGTGTGTTTTAAGCCTCTGGGGAGAGAAAGAAGGTGCGGAGGATGCTGAAAGAAACACTCCCTCTCCTTGATTGTTTGTTGTATGCTTTCTATCAGAGTCACGTTGCAAAGAGTGGGGTCTGGGTTCGTTTTTCTGTTCCCACGGCTGGTCATTCTTGGGGTGCTGTGTGGAACCAGGAGCAGCAGAGTGATTAATTACTGATCTTTTGCTGTCACAGAGGGTTCTAACAAATAGGGTGAAAAGAATGCCATTTTCCTGCTGTGACAGCTCATAAACCAAAACCTTGTGGTTATGATCAGCAAAATGCAACGTCAGGAGCGCAAAGACCCATAGTGGAAAAAGCAGAGAAGGAACAGGAGATAGAACAAACATTCCTGAGTCCAGCACATGGCCTTTACATCTGATTTCGGCTCCCTCAAGACAGGGCAAAGGAAGGGGTATGCTTCTGTTTCCTCAAGCAATGAGCAATTTGGATGCTGAATCTTTTCCTTTGGTGCAGCTTAAAGAAAACCCCACCTCCCAGTAGCACTGTTCTGGCAGCGGCTTTGGTGTAACCTGGCTTTTATTAGAATCCTGCATTAAGAAAAACTTTACAGCTGTTGGAGAAATGTTTGGAAAAATATCCTTTTTTTTTTTTAATCTGGATTCCCTGCTGGCATTGTCCCAGTGAAAATATGCTGGTGTTTGGCTGATGGTGGGCAAAGCATCTTGGCTACCAGAAACCAGCAACGCCTTGGAAATGGACATCCCTCCTGCTCACCCCATGTGAAAAGAGCTCGAAGGGCTTTGATCTGAAAACGCCATGTAGGAACTTTGAAACAGGCAAAATATTTCACAAGGGGGAATAAAATACTTTTCCCACTAAATGAAACAACTGGCTCAGCAGCATGAGTTGGAACCACAAGCAAGCAGCATATGGTTTTGGATAGCGCAGCTCACAGCACAGGGTGAATGCGGACCTTATTTTGCCTGCACCCATCTTCCGAGTATATGGAACTGCATTCAAGCAGCAGATGTAATTCTCATCCTCTCCACACAAAGAGTTGCTTTTGCGTTTTGGGAATGGTGGTGGGACTTGGCTGTCCCCTTCGGTGCCTGTGAGGTGTCTGTGGGCTTTGAGTTTTGGTTGGGGGCTGCAAACTGCTGTGCGATTGCTCCCAGCCTCAAATGCTCCGGAGGAGAAAAATGGTTGTAGCAAAGCAGAGGATCATAGAAGACAGCAGCAGTAAGAGAGAAAAAGCTCTGTTTAAGTCACTCAAGAGAGTAAAGACAGCTGGGAATTGGTCAGTGCTCCAAAACACATTCTGTCATGCAGATTTCACTCGCTGGCCTCTTTACTCTTCACATTTCCTATCAAAGTGTAGGATAATCCTTTTTAGCTAGGAGAGAGTAGATTATAAATATCACCACAGATGAGTAAATCCTTCACTGGAGTGCAATTTCCTTTCTGAATCACAGCCTTTTGTGTTGAGCACCCTGTAATCATCAGGAAGTGTCTGGATAAAAGAGAAAAAGCAGTTGTTTTCATACCCTCTGCCCTGTCATTTTAGTGCTATTTGAAGAGGATTTTAGCAGGTAAATACTTCCATGTTGCAGCCAGCTTTAGCATTCACAAGCTTTTTAGTTTTCTCCTTGCTATAATTAACCTGAGACAGAAATAATGGCAGGATACTATGAAGAAACACACATTCAAAGCTTCCCAGAGCTCATGATATATATAGTTCATGGAATCCTAGAATGGTTTGGGTTGGGAGGAACCTTAAAGCTCATCCAGTTCCAACCCCCTGCCATGGGCAGGGACACCTTCCACTAGAGCAGGTTGCTCCAAGTCACATCCAATCTGGCCTTGAACACTGCCAGGGATGGGGCATCTCTGGGCTGCTCACAATCCATCCTCCACCCAGCCTGTATTTCTGCTTGGGATATTTAAAAGGATGCAACACTAGTAGAGTGTCTCCATATTTATCTTAAGTGTCAGTTACTTACTATTAGAAAGATAGCAATGCAGTGTTTGGTGCAAACTTTAGGTCAGGACATGCTGTGAGCACCTCCAGGGGCTATCATCTAATACCTTTGCTGCAGGATCCCAGTCAGAACAGAAGGATTCAGAGCAGCCAAGCTGGGCACCTCTTTCTTATCAGTGGAGGGAGCAGACATCTCTAAGTATTTGTATCCATGGAAAAAGGTGTTCCAGCTGCCTGGAGACAAAGGCAGTTCTTGCTCCAGGCTGTGGCTGGAGGAGCTGGACAGAGGCAACCCTATGGGCTCTGTGCTAAATCCCAGGGCATGTCTGGAGATGCTGAATCCGGGGCTGTTTCTGTTGGCAGCTCTCTCTAGAAGAGGTGAGCAGAGGGCCAGAACAGATGCTCTCTGTCTGCACAACACTCTGCTGGTCGACGCTCCAGAGATGGCTAATACCAGTACTGGGTGGGTCTGGACCTTCACAACATGCCTTCACCTTCAGACCAGACACTCAACCAGGGTGGAGCATCCTTCCTCCTTTCTGATGCTGAGCCCCTGTCAAGGAGCCAGGGAGAGAAAGGATCTCATGGAGCAGATTCCTGGAGAGGGGCAGGGAGTCCCGTCGGCTGGTCCTGCTCCAGGAACTGCTGAGGCACTTCCAATTAGGAGCCAGTGTCTGAAATACAGATAAAAGACCTTCAAGGTGGTTCACATAAGAGCCATCCAGTAGCCATACGGTCTTTCAGGTCAGCCACCACCTCCTTAAGAGGTGCAGCTCAGTCAAAAGAGCAGACCATGATACATCAGCAAGGTCAAGCAGGAGAGAACTGGTGAAAAGGGAATCAATGTTTTTCCAAGCCAAAATGTCTGAATTATGAGCAAGAAGGAATGCAGAGGGGAGTGGGCAGCAGCCGGGATGGCTGTGAGCATCGCATCCCTCCGCCAGCAGAGCCTTAGGCTGTGGGTCTACACTAGCTCATGGGAAGGATAAAAAAGCCATTAAGAAGAGGTGTGGACTTGAGAGCAGAAACAGGCCTGGGTTCATCTGGTGAGAGAAGCAAAAGGCCAAGCCCTTGGCCAAAGCAGGGGTTGGTTGTGGCTTCCAGAGCAGGGCGATGCTCCCCTGAGGGTCTCACAGACAGTCAATGTGGCTGGAAGCCCTGGCTGGGGACAGTGAGTAGCAGAGACTGAGTTACAACAAGCAGTTGTAACCCACCCTGGAAGCATCCTGCTATTTCTGCAAGGATTGTTTCTTGTTTATTTTCTCTCACCGTTTGTTTCAAGTTAAATTTTCTGCCCCTTTTTGTTTATAAATCCTCCTAGTAACCCAGCTAAACTGTAGCCAAATTTCATCTCATCTGCTCCGACTCCACTTGATAGAAATTAATTTGTTTTAAATAGCTGAAGCAAGATAATAAAGGAGATGGGGGCAAAAAAATGTGCCTGAAGTGCCTGTCACTTGCAGGATTTACTCAGTGTTTGAAAAGAGCTCTAGGTAAATCCTGGAGAAAACAAACTCTTCAAATACACAGTGATCAGTCTGCAGCTGAACAGGCCGCTTTTGTCCTGAAGCAGGTTTATGGAAGACCTGTGAGAATGATTTGAAGCCTGCAGTGCTTGCCAGCTAGCAAGCTAGACTAGGAAACTCCTTCTCATTAATCCAGCAGAGAGAGCAGGTCAAGAGACAGATGCTCACCATTTTAGGTAACTTCATAATGAAGGACTCTGGATTGTCTCGTACCTTGTAATAATTAGATTAGAAAAGCTGGAAGCTAGACAAATCCAAGCTGGAAAAACAACCTGAAGTTTTCCATGATAGTAAATGGTTATTTTGGAGTTTTCTATGGCATTTCAAGTCCTTAAGCATAAGTGAGTGCTCAGCAATGGGAGCGGCTCATGTTGTGTAGTCCCCCCACTTGCCCAAACCCCAGCCCACAAGCCTGTGGTTTCCTGATGGCTTTGCTGAAGGTGTAGATTACAAATAGACTGATCTGAGTGTAGATACTACTTTTAAGTGTGTTCATGGAGCCAGCCCTTGAGTAACCACCAGGCCAGACCCCAGTGAGTGCAGGTTGTTGCTGCCACCACGTTTTGTTGCAGCAGTCTGGGAACACCTGCAGGGTTTGGGTGATGCAAGCACAAAGCAGCACTGTAAAAGTGTGTGTGATTGTGCAGTGCTATCCCATATCTAGAAGCCTGCTTCTCCTTAGAACTGCAAAAGAAACCTCAAACCAAAACCTGCAGAAATTCAAACCAAAACCAGATTATTTTATTATTATTCTTATATTTTTTCTTCATCTCTTCCATCCTATTTCAACAGGGATATAAAGGCTACCCTGGACCGCCAGGTCATCCTGGAGACCAGGTGAGTCTTCCCACTTTCCATCACTGAACCTTTAGAGAGAGGGAGGGATTTGCTGACTCTGAAGCTAATTTGGATGCTGTACAGCCTGCTTGGTGTGGCCAGCCAGCTCCTTCCCAGGGCAGCCTAAGACACAGGGATATGCAGTGCACTCCAGCTGCACACATACACTGACCAAGCACCAGCAGGCTGGGAGGAGGCTACCTTGGAGTTTCTATTTGATTTCTCATTTTCATTGCTCAACCAATGTTAAGTGCACGTGGTGGTGGAAGAAACACCAGCTCCCTACTCCCCCTTTATTTTTCCTTTTACATTGACTTCACCTGGAGTTTACTAACCACATCGTATTAAGTACTAACATGTAATTGCTCTCCCAAAGCCCATTCCCGTTCTCCCCTTTTCTCCCCCCTCTCTATTTGGTTAAGTCTAATGTTTGCAGTTCAGGAATAAAAAAAAGGCAATGAATAGCAGGCCCTGTTAGCGGTGATGTTAAAGGATATTATACATGAATCCATTTAGTTCTGAAGAATTTTGGCAGTGTTTCCCCACCAGTAAAACGGTTCCATATGCCAGATATAGATGCAGCCTTACACCTTCTCTTAGCCTCCTTGTTTAAAACTATCTGCTGCTTTTACTGCAGATGGAGGGAGAAGGAGGAATAGCAACGCTTGCTTAATGCATGGACCCTATTGACTTGGCTTCTGTGTGCTTCCCCCTCCTCATTAATTTATCTTGTTGTTTACCCTTAATATTTTCTTCCTCTCTACAAATTTGCACCAGGTTAATCCATTCCATCCTCCTTTCCCCCCTTTCATTCAGAGAATGAAGCAGCTAAAAAGACTTCCCAAGTGTGACACCCCCCTTACCTAATGTGCCTTCTCTTTCTCTTCCCAAAGGGCGAACGAGGACCAGATGGAAGTCCAGGAGCCAAAGGTTATCCTGGCAGGCAGGTGCAGTAAATCTCATCATGCTGTGCACAGACTAGGGATTTGGGTGTGCAGGTAGCTAAATGTATGCCCTGCTAAATACATGCCCCACTATAGACAGTGCAGACATCTGGAATACGCCTAAGTATTAGGCACATTTTGCATTTGATGTTGGACAGGTTAGAAATCTGGGACAGAAAAAGGTGTATTACTGGAAGAAATGGTTTAGATGAACTCTCACGACTACAGTTCAGTAGCATAATCATATATACATATACAGATACATATAATAAATGTATAAACCATAAATACATATAAAGATCATATCTCCAGCTGCAAAAAAAAAAAAAGATGATGAAAGAAAACCAAGCCTTTGCTTTCAAAGGAAAATGGAGGAAGATTTGGACACGTTATTTCTCACTGATGTAAGATGCTGAGTAGTAGGAAGAAATTGAGAGGAAAGAATTGTAAGACCCTAAATGGCAAGAAGACTTTGCCCTGTAACATTGCACAGTGAAGAGAGTTTGTCCTTGTTTTCTATAATGGACACATTAATGTTGGATTTTGCCACATTAAATCTATGTTAAGATGTTAGGCAGGTGTCAGAGACCCCAAGCAGTCTGTCATGAGTCTATCAGGCTTGTCATGAGTTCCTATGTAAGCAGGTTATTGGACTAAACATGATGTATATGCACAGAACATGCCTGCATCCCCCTGTCTTAGACTATCAATAATGAATGATCCATTTTAAACTGACAATCAGATGGATACCTTGCTTAGCACACTGGAGAGTGCAGGTGGTAGAACTGGATAAAGAGCTTTATGCACCTGACTAAATGCTCCATTCATACTCTGAAAGGGTCTCAGAGATTTGCATGTCAAAGAAGCTCCTAGGTGTGAAGGTGTGTTAGATGGCTAATAAGAAGAGGTCCAAGCTATTTTGGACATCAGGGTTAATGAATGCAATTCACAGCAGCCTTCTGCCCATCTGATAAGCAGAGTGAAACCTTTGCCATTGACATATGAAGAACAAAAGTGCTTTCTTAAAATGTGCTTTGGGTCAGGAAAGTGTCTTTTTCTTAAGGCAGCTTTTTGAGCCTATCTGAAATGTGTACCCAGCATCCGAACTGTTTACTTTACTGAGATTTTACTACTTGTTACTCCTGTCAGCTCTGCTGGCTCTGCAGCAGTATGGGAAAGAGAGCTTGGCTCTGCTTTGATTTGCAACCCATAGGCAGGACTGTGAACCTCACCCCCGTGGCTGAAATCTTTGGCAACCATACAAGAGCCAGGAAAGAGCACAACCTGACTTTCACATCCCAGGCGGTGTGTACACTGCTGCCAGCTACAGAAAATATAGACTAAGCCTCTCCTTTTTCTATTTTCCCTTCCAAAAAAGCCCAACAACATTTGGAACTAGAAAAAAAATTGACCTGGAAACTTGCTAGAAGACAATAAACATGAAAATCCATTATGCATTTTTACAGGGTTTATTTCCACAGCACTTTAAATGAACAGCAATTGACGTAGAATGGGGAATGTATTTTCAACTCTTTCCATAGCTGTTGATGCTGCAGGAGGTTAGAGATATTGCACTACTCACACTGCTAAGTGACTTTCTAGGCTGTAGGAATTAGAGATGTTTTCTCAGTGCACCAGGGCCTGTGTTCCCTAAACAGGTATTGAAATACATTTGTGATTGGCTTTACATGTGTTCAGTTAGGCAGGAAAATGAATCGAGGGCTGTTGTGTACAGAGCATCACTGTCCATCGCATCTCAAGTGTAACACAAGCTCTGTGCACCCTGCTGCATTAGGCTTTTTGATCAGAAATCTGCACTTCAGCCCCGGGGAAGGCTCACTATGTGTAGCAGTCTCAGGTTCTGCAGAGTCCCAGCTCCTCAACAATGGGAGATTTGTTATTTGTATATTTTGTCCTTATTTTCTCCTTTGTTGCTATGCCCTGGACTCGGCACTGAAAGCAGAACCACACAGGGACGGTGCTGGGGATTTGGCACTGCTCGATGGGTTAAGTTAAAGCCTGTCCACATTTGTCTCTTTTTTCCCCTTCTGTTCTAGGGTTTACCTGGCCCCATAGGGGAAGCTGGCCCAAAAGGCAGTCGGGTAAGCAGCCTTTCATTGTCTTTTCTCTACTTGTTTTTACCAAATGCTTCTCAAGAAACCTTATGCTTAATTTTGCAATCCTGAAACTATTTGGTTTTATTTGTTGGATTCTGAGGGTTTGAACCATGCACGGCTTGTTTATTGAACCGTTGCTCCATTTTTTATATTAAACATGGAATGCGCCGAGATTAAAGTGCTGATGATATAAAGTCAGAGCTTACATTACAGGAGAGGAAAGAATGGCATACAAATTCCTACCAAAGACCAAAGCCTGGCCTTTCTGCAAGCCCCATCTCCCAAAGGCCTCTTTAATTTCAATAAGTGTGGTTCAGCGGTCTTTGACCACGCTGAATATGGGCTCTTTTGGGTATAGTCCTGGGTTTGGGAGTGATTTATATCATGCCGAATAGCAAGCCAGCATCTTGAAGCCATGTGCAAATACAAACAGCATCCCTGTTCTGCCTGGGTTTGCTCATCAGATTGAATTGCTGGACGTTCATTCCCACTGCAAAGGATTACTTTTATTTTCTTTTTTACCACTGAAGGTTCTCATTAACCACATTTGTTCTTTTCCTGCAATTATCAATTCACAACGAGATTCAGACCCAATAAAATCCCCCATTTCTCTAACATGATGCTGTCTCTGTATGCAGTAAATTCAAGCAGCTGGCTTCCATCACTAGGAAAACTGCAAGGAATAAACAAATGCTGACCCTGTAGCTACCTGTGAGCTGGGAAGGGAGGTGGCATGTTCAGTGTCCTGCAGGAGAGAGGGAGATCTCAGATAGGGTTGGAACTAGATGATCTTAAGGTCCTTTCCAACCCTAACGATTCTGTGATAGCAGAGATTGCTCACCTCACTTCTGCCAGTGGTGAAGTTCTCCTCTATTTCAATGGCCTAACCAGCACCTCATGTAATTACCACATGGTGGATGTGCAGCATGTGAGGCTTGAAAGCTATTTTCCACTTTGCACCCTGAGTGCTGAGGACAGAAATATTCATAGCTACTCAAGAAAGCCATTTCTCAGTTGAGCTGCAGTCAATCACAACTGGGTACTAAATGGGATATCAGCATTTGTGGATTCAGGGAACCGACTGTGGGCTCCTCTCCACCCCCTACCTCTCTTTGTTATCTCCTGCAGACAGTAGTTCAGGAGTTATGTGGTTTTCCTTGGCGTTCAGGAGGCAAAGGCAGACAGCACCATTTTAATGCAGCCATATTTCCCAGCTAGGTATTATCCCCAAAGGAAACACCACCTAAAGGGAGTGGTGAAAAGTTTTGGTGGGGTTGACAGTAGGAGAAGTAGTGATGATGGAGAAAGAAAGATGAGAGAAAATCAGTGTTAACACTTGGCTCCTGTAACAGAAAGGTGCCACTGAGGGGGCTCCCTGCTGACATTCGCTTCCTTTTGATTCTGCATGTTTGGCAGAAATTAGTTCTTTGCAAAGGACCAGCACACAAGGTAACTTTGTACTAACTGCTGAGCAGAGAGGATTAAACACAAGGCTTCAATTGTTGAAGGGAAGGGAAATGTGGCATTGGATGCAGCGTGTCTTGTCTGAGCAGGATCCCAGGGCCACATATTTGAAAACGATGAGTGTGGAAGGAGCAGATTTTGTGTGAAACATGTTGGTGCAAAGGAGGCTTCATTAGTAGGGTGTCTGAGGGTCTGTATGTACAGGCTGAGCCTCGTACACTGATCCAAAGAGCCTGATGTGGCACGTTCAGCCTCTTTCTGCCTAGTCCCAGCCTTGGTGCTTGGGTTGACAGTGTTTGCAGCAGGTCTTGGTGGTGCAACAGAGCATTGGAGGGTCAACAGCATTGAATCCAGGAAGTGGTGGTGTTTGCATGAGAAAGGGCTGCAGTGTGCCACCACCATGTGGTAGAAGACAAGCAGAAAGGGCTTGGTACAACAGGACACTTTCACAACACAATTGGGAACGAGTCCCCAAGGCAGGGAAAGAACCCTTGGAGACATGCAAGGAGGTGCAGGCATGTGGATTACTTCTGCTATCGCTCATGCTAACCTTGATCCAAGCTCTGTTTCCCCCAGGTACACTTAGTGCCAGCCCAGGTAAGGTTTCTTCTTGCTGGCCTCTCCCTGCCTGGAATCCTCATGATCCCTGGTGTGAGGGTATGTGCCCTTGGACTACATCGTGGAAGCCAGCACCATGCAGTCCATGGGCATATACACTTGCCTCAAGGTTTATTTCATCACGGCTGCCATTGACCAACGCTGGAGGATGCTGTGCTGTTCAGGAAAGACAGACTGACTGGTTGCTATGGGAGAAATGTATTTGACTACTTGTTTCCTCTTTTCTTTAGGGCTACATTGGTCTCCCAGGACTATTTGGGCTACCAGGGGCTGATGGAGAACGAGTGAGTATTTTGTGAAGAAAAACTTGCTTGAATACAGTTCTTCAGATCCTGTTGTGACGTTCTCTGTCCCTTGTTCTGGAGGGAAAAGGAGAGCATCCCTAATGTTTTATCATGCCTTCTTTAGCCTGTTTCTACCCTTGCATGAAGACCTATGTCTCTGTATAATATTGACATTCAGCTCAGGAAAAAATATGCTTCAGAGAGGGTCATCACACCTCACTTGAGTAGAGAGGAGAGTTTTTTCTTCACTTAAAAACCTGCCTTCCTCTTCCTCCTTACTGATTTATCTTCATGGGATGGGGCAGGGGTAAGAATGTACATGGAAATTCCCTGCTCCCACAGGAGTAACATCCCAGCCACAGCATCCCAGCATTTTGACTGTCCAACTAGAGATGTCTGGAAAGAGCCTGGCTCTTGGAAGCGGCAGTGGTTGGGGCTTTCTGACAATGCCTTTCCTTCCAGTTACATCAGGTTGGGCAGCCAAGACTGGGGCCTGCGGATGGGCAGCTGTGGCTGCTGTTCCCATGTGTCCTCCCTTCCCTCCACCCTTTTCATCAAGCCTTCTGCAAACCCACATATTCAGAGCTTTGCAGGACCTCCCTTTGCTTTTTTGCTCTTCTCTCCCATATCCCTCCACTTGCCTGACCTCAACCCATCCAAGTACCCCCTTTTCCCCCTGCAAGAGCTCCTAAGGAAGGTCATTGTACGATGAAGACTGTTTTATTCCAGCTCTTTGTCCCTCCAATGGAAGCTCCAGAAAGAAGCGAGGTCTGGGAGCGTGTGGGAGTGAGCGTGTGTGTGTGCCTGCCTGGGAGGGGACTACCCTGTGCTCTAGAGTGGCTGATTTAATGCTTGTATAACTAAATAAGAAACACAAACACAAGTTCTCCAGCGAGTGCCTTCGCGGTGGCCTTCAGTCGCTTCCAGACCAGTAGCTTAATGACTGCTCCTGCTAAGCACAGCTCCAGCCTCTTGCCCTGGGTGTGGATGTTGCCTGCGTGTCCTCAGGGAGGGCTATAGCTAATGGGTGAAGGTTAATTGTCTTCTGCTCTCGCAGCTGACTGCAAGTAGCTGACATTTTGATTCCTGAACAATGCCGCAGTCATTAGCCTGGTTTGCATTCCCCTTTCTCTTCTAGTTTTGGTTTGTATTGGTGGTTGCCTGTTTGCTTTCTCAACCAGACCTATTATTTTTCTTCTTTCTCTGTGTGTTTTCCTTGCAGGGGATCCCTGGAGTTCCTGGGAAGAAGGGCAAGATGGGTAGGCCGGTAAAGTTTTTCCTCGTCTATTATGCAGACCTTGTTGAATGAAACTGGAAACAAAACATCTGGCTTTTGGCTGGGGCCCTTCATATCTTCTGATGGGAACTGAATGGGGAGATCAAACAAACCTTTCCATATCTGTTTTCTCAAGCAAGAAGAAAACTAAAGATAACAATAGTGTTCTCTTCCTTTCTTCGATGCTCTTTCTTCTATGCATTTTTGTTCTATTTTGCACTGTCTCCATGCTGCCTTGGATACTACATTGCTCACATTCTCTTCTGCAACATCTTCCCCTTTGTCCTTTCTATGACCTGCCCCTACCCTGAATGCACTTTTTAATGCCCACCATGATGGCAGCATCTCAGGTGTCTGTGCTTGCTCTGTGCTCCATCACTCCCATCACCTCTTTTTTGCTGTGATTCTCCCCAGCCCTTGTACCATCTAGGTTTGTATAATGCACATGCACTTCTGTATAGAAACCTTTTTATCCTTGGTGTTGGTACAGAGGTAATGCAGCTACAGATCAGATGAAGATATGTTTTCACAGTAAGGAGACCAGGTAGATTTGAGAGCTTGGCCAGGAGGAAGAGGCGTTTGCAGGTAGAGCTGAATACAAGGGGAAAACTGAAAGCTGCATAGAAGAAGAAGGGCGCTTGTGCTGATTGTAGCAAAAAGCAAATTAAAAGCAGGTGGGAGAAGTACTGAAATGAGCAGAGGCAACAGGGAAAGGACAGAAAGAAAAGCCTTTCCCTCAACAGCCTTCTTCCAGGCAATACTGTGTGTTCCTTGGGCAGAATAGGTTTTGCTCCGAGTGGCCGATCAGGCGCGTCCCATTGACTTTGCACCTTGTCCTTCATGTTAGCCTGAGTTTCTCTTGATCCCCTGACATTGCTGCACTCACAGGCTCCTTGTAAGATGTCCACTCACCCACACAGGGAAAAACCCAGTGCTTTCCCCTTGTCACCCTCGCATGTGAACACCTGCTTTCCACAGTCCCACACTCACTGGTGTTCTCACAGTCAAAGCCATGCAAGCATCCTGACAGTGTCACATTCATCACTTCTGACTGTTTCTCTCTCCTTGGGATGGGGAGGGAAGTTGAGCAGATTCTTTTGAGGGTGGCTAGTGGAAATCTGTACCAGATCTGACAGCTCTGTAAAGCCCCTGGTTGCACCAGAAACCTTTGTGATGAATAATTGCAGAGAGCCCATCGATGGGACGGTGACTCACTGACCAGAGTAAAACAAACAAAGCAACTGTCGTTAGATACAGGGTTTCTGCTCTCTGCCTTGTTTCTGCACAGAGCACGCTGGAGGCTCAAAGCATTCCAGCTGTTGTTTGGCTAACATCTGGAATCTTCCAGGCAAGAGGTTTTTATTTGGAGGTCACTGTTACAAACAAGGGGCTCCCCTGAGATCAGCAGGGAATCTCTCAACCATGGAGGCATTTAGGCTGGGATCTAGAGAAGGGGTTAAACAGCTGTGCACGAGCACCTTTGTTCTCCTCTGCTCCTTCAAAGAGCTTTGGCTCCATCCCTATTTCATGATATCAGGCTTAATAAGAAATTTTGAATGGGCTGATGCTGATGATTTGTACTCTGAGCATGAACGAAAAGATTAAGTGACAATCCAGAGTTATTCAGGAAGTCACTGGGAGAACGGAGAGTAGGAACCATTCCCTGGTTCCTTTCCCAACACTTATCTCCTGGCCTGTGCTGTCTCCCAGCTGGTTTGCAGCATTAGTGAGCCTGCCGTGATCTGTTTCTGCTCTCTCTCATCCCCACGCCACTCAGTTTGCTGGCGTGGCTACTGTTCCTGTTCTATTTCAGTGTTGTCATTGCAAAGGAGGGCTCCTGGAAGCTGCCATCCGAAGCTGGTAAATGCTCTGGAGAGCAGGGAAGGAGCTGGTGTCAAACATATGTCTGTACGTAGTTTTGTTTGGGATGAGAGATGGCAACAGATTAAGTGCTCAGCAGAGGAGGAGCAAGGGGCTGGGGGAGTTTGCATGTGACACCGTGGGCCTCCGAGAATGATGTAAGAGGGAATGATTAAAATAGAAGAACTGGACATGAGTCAGATCTTGAAACCCTTCCAGAGAAGTTAAGTTTTGCAGAGCTAGGAGGGACATGGTGAATGTGTCGTGGAACCAGCTGACTCCACCTCCCACTCTGCTCTCCCTGCAGTGCATCGGCAGTGCAGGAGGCAAGTGCATTTCTAACACATGGGCCCTGGTGAACTCTGGTGGGCTACGTGGAGAGCTGTGATTAACGTACAATGCACTAGGGAGACTGAAATAACATGAGTCTGTCTGTGCCTGGATCCGCTGCCTGGTTTAGAGGTAGGCTGGAGGTGTGGAGCTGAACTTGGTGGTCACTTGAGCCTTCAGTCTTGCCAGTGCAGTGGCTGAAAAGAATGGCTTTTTATGGTGGTTTTGTGGATTTTGATGGTGTTCAGTTGAGCAGATAGGGAAAATAAATAAAAGGAGAATAAAAAAGGCCCCATTGCTGTGAGGGCAGCAGGGTTGTGGTCTGCACGGTGCTGGAGGAAAAGGAATGAGAGAAGTTGCTGTTACATGCTGTACTGGCATGCAGAACCAATGTTCCAGTCCTAGTTCATCTTTAGAAAGGAGATGGACTGTCACTGAAGGATGTAACCCACAGGAAGAGGTGCTATAGCTAGTGATCAGTCAAGAAGTGCAAAGCTGTTAGTGGTATGATTTTCTTACGCTGTGGGAGATGGGTAGTTACAATCAGAAATGTCTGCACTGCAGGTTAGATTAAACTTCAAATAGAGCGTAATGTTTTCAGAAGTTCTCAAGCTCTGTTAGGGACTTAAAGGCAAACTTTCCAGAAACACATCCAAAGAGCTTTGATCTCTCTTTTTGTTCATCTTTTTTACTTATGCGTGCTTCTCTCTCTTTTTTCACAATAGAGTGTCAATACCAGCTGCACTACCATGCTTGATGTTTGCTTGAAATGTGTTTTACTAGTAGTATGATCTTAACAGAGATAGAAAGGAAGGAGCAAAGTTTAGTTCCAACACATACTTACTAATTCTTGGGTTTGCTGAGGTCTACTCACAGTTTAGCCAAACATAGCTGAGGTTTCCTTATAGCTTCCTGAGAACCTGTTAGTGCTGCTGGTCCCATGCCTGGAGCTCAGTTGAACCCTTTGGAGCATCACATCAGAGCAGACACCTTGCGAAAGAAAAGCCCTGGCCCGAAGGGTCCATCAGTCTGGGACTTCAAAGCTCATCCAGTTCCAACACCCTGCCATTGGCAAGGACACCTTCCACTAGATCAGGTTGCTTATATCTGTGATGATACACAACCTTGTCCCACCAGCTGCCGGGTGTGTGATGGGGGTTCCTGCTGCCTGTTACCCTCAGGCAAGGGAGGAGAACACATCCTGACAAGCATCATGCTTCGAGCAGCCTTTGGCAAGTGCCAGCGTGTTGCTGAAGTGCTGCTCTGAGGACACAGCTTGACAGGTAGAGTCGATTACTACTTCATTAATAGCAGGCCCAGAGGGAGGGTTTGTGCTTGGATGTGTGGCCAGAAAAGTTGATGCAACCTGTGAGAATGGCTGGAGTCTGCAAGGCAAGTTGGGGAGATGCATTGCTTGGTGGCTGCACAGGAGGAGGAAAAGGATATAGGACCTGGTTTATGCCTGTGGCATGCAACTTCAGACAAGCAGCTTCTCGGCTGCATGCCAAAAAAAGGATAACACAATCAGCTCTCATCTGAGCTGCAACTTGGCATATAAATATCAAGGATTATACTGCTCGGATGTCAAGGAAGATGTGCTATGAAGTGGCACGTGGATTTTAGGTGTTAGGTATCAGTGCATTGGTGAGCCCAGAAGTCTCCCTTCCCTCTGCCTGTCAGCCACAGCGTGGAGGCTGTGAGAGCCAGCAATGATCTGGCAGCCACTCCAGCGTAGCCTCAGTAGTTGTTGTGAGCATCAGCGCGGTGGCAAGCTGCCGCATCTGGCATCAGCTTCCCATGAGCTGACCACAGGCAGGGTCCCCTTTGCCAGCTCTCAGCTTGTAACGCTGTGGTGCTGTCTTGGCAGGCTGTTTTTCGTGTCTGCTGTCTTCTCCCATGTTGAGTTAGGAAGTTAACATCTTAGCTCCTGCCTCCGAGCCTCAGTGTGTTCTTTTTGTTTCATCTGATAAGTTCTTGGAAGTGCAAGTGATACCCCGGTGCTCCCCACCGATATGGGCATCACATGGAAAGGCATTGCCCTGTAGGAGACACTGGAGAGCAACAAAGCAGGGCTGCCTTTGGGTTAGGGAGGGTTTGTTTCATAGCTTCCCCAGACCTGTTGATATATGGCTAAGATAACTTAGTGGTGAACGTAAGTGCACGGGGCATTGCCAAGTTACACAGTGTTAGCTGTTGTCCATGCAAACAATGGGGCCATGGTTTGCCATGTGTCTGGAAAGGCTGGCATAACCACAAATCACTGGGAAAATAGATTTTGCTCCTCTCTGTGGGGAATAAGATGATGAACAGCTCCTCTCTTCTTGCTCCAATCTTTTCTCTGCTTTGGATGCAGCTGAGGTCCTTCCTTGCGTTTGGAGTGAACCAAATCAGAGGCTCCTGCACCACTTAAGCTGAGATTTGAGAAACTGGTAACAGCATTTCAAAGTACCTCTTCCAAACTCCATCTGACTTGAGTGGGCTACCTTGGGCTGCAGAGGGGCAGCCCAAGGTAGGTTGCCCAAGGAAGTTGTGAATGCTCCAACCCTGGAGGCGTTTAAGGCCAGGCTGGACAGAGCCTTGGGCGACATAGTTTAGTGTGAGGTGTCCCTGCTCATGGCAGGGGGGTTGGAACTAGATGATCTTAAGGTCCTTTCCAGCCCAAACCATTCTATGATTCTATATGGCTTTTCTCATAAGAAACAGGACATAGGCGTACACCCTAAGAGCTCTCACCTACTGAGTACCATGGTGCACATGGGCTGCTAAGGGTCTAACATGTCTCCTGTCACTGAGATGCTGTTAGTTACTAAAGAAAAGGAAGAATGGAGCTGTTCTTCTCTTTAAACATTGAGAAACAT